CTTGTGCTTTGTTGGGTTGTTTTTCCTTGTATTTTTTGCACTATTTTTGCACTTATGCTTTTGTTGCCAAAGGGTCTTTGCCCCTCCAAAAGAGAAAAACACAGCGTGAGACAAGCGTTGTTCTCTTTTGTTTACTTTGTGCATCAGAAGCGTGGTGAAGGGGTGGCTGAGGCGAAATCTCTGCGGTTAGGCCGGGGCTTGCCAAGCCTAATGCCCTTTTAAGTGTTAACTTAGGCAAGACCGAAGAGGCCTGTGATGGAGGGAGGTCGAAGCAGAGCGTGGGGCTCACCTAGCTCTCTCTCATTTACTTGGTTAAATAGCAGGATGACCTGTCGACATAAGAGTGAGGGCTGAGGCTGAGCTGAGGCTCACCTGCCTCCCATTCTTCTAAGTGTTGACTTCGGTGAGGCTGAAATAGCCTATTGTATTAAGGGGTGACCGAGACAGAGCTGAGGCCCATCTAGCTCCACGGGGCCTAGGCAGAGCCGAGGTTCGCCTGGCTCCCATATCCATGCACATTAGCTTCGGCGAGGCTGAGGTGGCCTACCCTATTGGGGGGTGGCCAAGACAGAGCTGAGGCTCGTCTGGCTCCATGGAGCCTAGGCAGAGCCGAGGCTCGCCTGACTCCCGTATCCCTGCATAATTGTTTCGACAAGGTTGAGCGCAACGCTCCGAGGAGGTTGGCTTCCTTTGCTGGTAGTGCTAAGTGTGAAAGTTTAGGAGGCTAGCCACCGCCGAGGTGGGGCGTTGAGGCACATGGGGCCCTCGGCCATCTTGGTGTATTCTGACGCATTAAGTCATAGCTAAGGTGTTCGTTACTTATTCGTTAAGTCTTGGCATCATTCTAGCGAGGGGGTATAGCTCTCGGAGGAGGCCGTGTGCCCTTACCAGTCGTGAAGCTGAAGAGTTATAAGAACTTAGTAGGTACACGCGTTGAGCATCATGCCGAAGAGGAACTTTGCTTTATTCATTCCACAATTTCAAAAAGATGTTACAATCACTTGTAGTGCATCCGAAGGTTCTCCGAATTCCCTGTCGAAAGTATAGGTCTTCCATCTAGGTGTTCCAGGTGAAAAGTGCCGAGGCCGATGACCCATTTGATTCTGTAGAGGCCTTCCCAGTTGGGGCCCAACTTCCTTACTCTTGGTTCTGGGACCATGACTTTTTTGAGGACAAGGTCTCCCTCTTGATAGTGTCTTTCTTTTACCCTGGAGTTGTAGTAGCGGGCCACTCGCTGCTGGTAAGTGGCTACCCTTATCTATGCTTGCTCTCAGGCTTCTTCCAACAGGTCTAAGTTTGCTCTAAGGGCTTCATCATTCCCGGCTTCATTGTATGCCTCAAATCGAAATGTCGGCTGGCTGATCTCTTTTGGGATTATTGCTTCTATGCCATAGGTTAAGCTGAAGGGAGTTTCTCCCGTGGCTGTCCGAGGTGTAGTTTGGTAGGTCCAGAGTACTCTGTTCAGTTTGTCAGCCCATAGGCCTTTTGCTCAATCTAATCTGGTCTTCAGTCCATCCAGTATTGTCCTGTTGGTGACCTCGGCTAGGTCGTTGGTTTGAGGATAGCCTACTGAGGTGTATTGTTGTCTGATGCCGAGGGAGGCACACCATTCCTAGAACTTAGCGTCATCAAATTGCTTCCCGTTGTTGGTGACCAGCATGTAGGGTAGGCCGAAGCGACAGATGATGTTTTTCCAAAAGAAATTTTGGATGGCTCGCGCCGTGATGGCGACCAAGGGCTTGGCTTCCACCCACTTGGTGAAGTAGTCTACTACAACAATGAGATACTTCTTGCCCCCCGTGGCTAGAGGAAAGGGGCCAAGGAGGTCCATGCCCAATTTGGCAAAGGGCCATGGATTGCTAAGGGCCGAGAGAGTGGTGGCCAGACTGTGGCATAAGTTGGCGTGCCTCTGGCATGGATCACACTTTTGCACCAATCTAGTTGTGTCCTTGTGGAGGGTAGGCCAGAAGTAGCCCTGCCTTAGAACCTTTTAAGCTAGGGCTCTCCTGCCAAGGTGGTTACCACAAATGCCTTCGTGAATTTCTTGTAGCACATAGTTGCCCTCCTCTAGACGAAGGCATCAGAGGTAAGGCAAGGTGAAGGATCTTCGGTACAACTTTTCCTCCAGCAGGGTATAGTGGGCTGCTTGTCGTCTGAGTCATTTTGCCTCATTTCTGTCTTCGGGAAACAGTCCAGTTGATAGGAAGTTGACGATGGGATCCATCCATGAAGGTTTAGCCTCTATGGGGAGCACTTGGACTTCTTCGATGGAGGGCCAAAGTAGCTTCTCGATGCGCACGGTCCGACCGGGGGATCCGCTCGAGGTACTTGCCAACTTGAAGAGAGCTTCGGCTCGTGCGTTCTCAGCTCACGGGACCCGTTATAGGGAGAAGCATTGGAAGTGATGGGCTAGATCTTGGAATTTGGTGTGGTACCTAGACATACTTTGTTTCCTGGCTTCATACTCACCGTTCACCTGATTCACCACCAGCTGAAAGTCGCTGAAGGCTTCGACATATGAGGAGCCGAGGTCCTTAGCAAGCTGTAGACCAACGAGGAGAGCCTCGTACTCGGCTTCGTTATTTGATGTTGGGAAGTTGAACCTTAGCACATACTCCAGGACAACATCATCTAGGGTGAGGAGGATGAGGCCCACTTTGCTTCCTTTAGCATTGGAGGAACCGTCAACAAAGAGCTTCCATCGAGTTTTAGCTTCGTCGTCCACATTATCCCCCTCAACATTTTCTGGGGGCTGGCGAAGGGCTCAGTTGAAGGTGCATTCTACTATGAAAACTGCCAGGGCTTGTGCTTTGATCGCGGGCCTCGACTGGTACTGGATGTCAAACTCTGACAGCTCGATGGCCCACTTCGTTAGGTGCCCCGAGGTCTCGGGCTTGGAAAGAATAGCCTTAAGGGGCTGGTTCGTCAGGACCACTACGGTGTGGGCCTAGAAATACGGCCAGAATTTCCTTGCCGAAATCATGAGGGCGAAAGCCAACTTTTCTATCTTGGGGTACCTAGTCTTGGTGTTCTAGAGGAACTTCTGGCATAGTACAATGGCTTCTGCACGCCATCTTCCTTGATCAGGACTGAACTAACTGCTTTATCCCCGGCCAAGAGGTACAGGTACAGAGTTTCCCCTTCGACCAGCCAAGTGAGGAGGGGAGGCAAAGTGAGGTACGACTTGAACTCGTCAAAGGCACACTAGCACTCCTCCATCCATTGAAAATATTTCAGCTTCTTGATGGCACGGAAGAAGGGTAGGCGGCGGTTGGTTGACTTTGACATGAAGCGATTGAGGGCTGCTATTCGGCCAGTGAATTCTTGGGTCTCCTTCACTGTCCATGGGGGTGCCATGTCTAGTATGGCATGTATCTTCTTAGGATTAGCCTCAATGCCTCTCTGAGTGATGACAAAACCTAAGAACTTGCCTGATCTGACGCCGAAGGCACACTTGCTAGGGTTGAGTTTCATGTTATACTTCTGCAAGGTGTCGAAGGTCTCGGCTAGATCTGAGACGTGGGTCTCGGCTTTCAGGCTCTTCACTACCATATTCTCTGCATAGGCTTCGACGTTCCTCCCCATCTATTCTTTGAACACCTTGTTGACAAGGCGTTGGTAGGTGGCCCCAATATTCTTGAGGCCGAAGGGCATCACATGGTAGCAGTATGTGCCATGTTTGGTGATGAATGGGGTCTTCTCTTCATCATCTGGGTGCATCTTTATCTGATTGTATCGGGAGAAGGCATCCATGAAGCTAAGTAGCTCATACCCTGCAGTGGCGTCAACGAGGTGGTCTATCCTCGACAAAGTTAAATTGTCCTTGGGGCAGACTCGGTTATGGTCTGTGAAATCAATGCAGATCCGCCATTTCCCATTAGCTCTCTTTACCATAACCACATCAGACAACCAGTTAGGGTAGTGTACCTCTCGGATCAAGCTGGTGTCGAGTAAGTTTTCAACTTCCTCCTCTATGGCCTTCCAACGCTCTAGTGCAAAGTTCATCTTCCTCTACCGAACTAGCCTAGAGCTCGGGTCCATGCTTAGCCTGTGTGTAATGACCGAGGGATCAATTCTGGGCATGTTAGTGGCGGACCAAGCAAAGACGTCGGCATTAAGTTTGAGGAAACTTACCAGTTCAGATAGGCTTTCAGGGGGAAGGTTGGACCCGACGTGGACTGTTTTGTCGAGCTCATCCTCATCTAGGGGGACCGAGATGAGGTCCTCGGCCGGCTGGCTCAGCTCGCTGTCTCCTCATTGAGGTCGAGCGCTTCTAGTGGTAGATCTTCTTTATTCTTTTCCTTTAGTGCTGTCACGTAGCACTGACGGGCGGCGTGCTGATCCCCACAAACAACTCCGACGCCGTGCTCGGTGGGGAACTTCAAGGCGAGGTGGTAGGAGGAGATGGCTGCCTGGAGTGTGTGAAGAGTTGGTCTCCCCATGATGGCATTGTAGGGTGAGCCGATCTTCATGACCAAGAACTCTGTCATCCTTGTCACATGCTGAGGCTCCACCCCTACTGTGATTGGTAGGGAGATCTTGCCCTTTGGTTTGACCATCCTACTGGAGAAGATGACTAGTGGGGCATCTACTGATTGGAGGCACTCTAGAGCTATCTTCATATTTTTGAAAGCTTCATAGAAAAGGATGTCGATTGAGGAGCCACTGTTAACAAGGATCCTTTTGACTATGAAGTTTGCAATGATGGTCGAGACCACCAATGTGTTGTCATGGGGGACTGCTACCCCCTTCAGGTCCTCGTCCGTGAAGGAGAGGGGTTCTTGCTTCTGCTTCTTGGGGGCCGACCCCTAGATGTTCAGCTACCTGGCGTAGGCTTTGTGAGTCGAGGCCGAGGCTCCACCCGAGGTCGTGCCTCCCACTATGACGTCGATGACACTTGCTACTTGTTGGTGCTGCTACTACTACTGCTGAGAGGACGAGGTGCCGGCCTTGCCTCTGACGTACTACTTGAGGTGGCTCTGACGAATGAGGGACTCTATCTAATTTTTGAGATCATAACAGTCCTCGGTGTCGTGTCCGGTACCTCGGTGGAATTCTATCTCGTTCTTCTTCAACTTTTCAGGCCACTTCATAATTTTTTCCTGCCCGATCTGCATTAAAATCTGTGTGCGGGTGGAGTTGAGTGGCATGTATTGGTTGTAAGCCAATGGCTTCTTGTTGCTATTGCTGCGGCCCTGGTCCCCGTTCTTCCTCTTCTTCTCGGGGGCTCCATCCCGGTGCTCTATGCCTCTCTCATGGGCATCTGTAGCCGAAGCCTCTTCGACGGCAATGTATTTTTGGGCCCTTTCTAGGAACTCCAACTTCATCTTTGGCTGGCTTTTGGCAATGGAGCATTTGAGAGCCAAGCTGGGGAGGAGTCCACTGATGGCGACATGCATGGAGACCAGGGGGTCGAGGTCACGGACCTCGAGTTCTTCTTTATTGAAGCGGTCGATGTATGTCCGCAAACTCTCTCCTCGCTTCTTCTTGACAGTCATCAGTGAGACAACGCTTTTTTGGGGGCGCCAGCTGCTGATGAAGCGGGCAAGGAACATGTTGAAAAACTGCTCCCATGAGGTGATGGATCGAGGGGGGAGGCTAGAAAACCACTACCGAGTGGCTCCCTTGAAGGTCGCCTGGAAAGTCCGGCACGTCAAGGCACCGGAGTATCCGTACATGATCATGAGTGCCCTGAAGCTCTCTAGGTGGTTGTCTGAGTCTGTATTCCCGTTGTACATCTCCAAGGTTGGAGCCTTGAAGTTCGGGGGCAGAGGCTCGGCGACGATATCAGGGGAGAAGACATCCATTCTCCCTGGGCAGTTGCTTTGCCCGACCGAGGTGTCAATTCGGCCTTCCTTATCCTGTCGGGCAGTGCTTGCGCACCATCCCGGTCTTCACAAACACGGTGGTGCTCGACACAGACTCCAGAGTGCTCGAAGTTGAAACCGCGTGCGTCGCGCTTAGCGCGACGGTCGTTTAGGACGTCCTGGAGATCTGAGACGTGAGGGGAAGAGGCTCAACGCCGGCCCTCGGCCCTAGAATGGGCACTGGGGAGGGCTAACGACTATCCTCCGATCATTCCGGCTCCTCCTCCCTTCGGCTGGTAGGTCAGGTGGTTCTAAAGAGTGGGTCAGCTGGGCGACTGCTAGCAGACTCTGAGGGCTCAGTCCGCTGCACGTGGCCAAGGCTAGGGACCGATTGGTTGGTGGACCCATGTTGGTCCGACTGTGTTGACTCCCCAACGGGGCGGCCACCCTGGGGGCGGCCTCCTGCTTGGGGGTAGTTCTGCTCAACTCGTTGTGTCAGGTATTCCAGGCGGTCGAGCACGGCCTGAAACTGTTCATGGTGAAAAGATTTTGTGTATTTCTTGTTCTTTGTACCATGTTGGTTGGTTGGAGCTTGAGGACTTGTTAGCTTGTTAAATTTCTTCTAGGGAACATCCTATCAATGTTTCCCACAGATGACGCCCATTGTAGATGCTCGAGATGGTCGAGGACAACAAAGTAATTTTGCCCCTAGACTCCGAAGGCTTTGAGGGTTCGGGGAGCTTGTTGCCAAGGCCGAGGCAGAGAGGGCTCCGAATACTATAGAAGCCAAGGGTAGGTGGCCAAGGTGCTGCAAGGCAGAATACGGGGAACAAAGAGGGGAATTAGAGTATAGCTTTTGAGATCAGTTCCAAGTCCAGATGCAGATTGTCTTCGATTCCCCTTACTTGGAGGGGGGCACCCCTATTTATACTTGAGCCGCCTGGAGGTAGGAGGAGATGAACGCCTAGAATGGGTGCCATACGAGGACAGTCAGAGTGCTCTATGGGGACGCATGGGTGCTCCGCGATTGGCTTCGTATGAGGGGGAGCAGAGTCTTGCTGTAGTGATTCTCGTTCCCAGGTCTAGCGCTCGTGGGCTGGGCCTCCTAGCCTCGAATGGGCTGGGTTGGGTCACCCCACATCAAGTACTAAATATGAAAACTCACTACAGAAAAAACGGTTTTGTGTCGATGTTTGTTTAACGACATTTAATACAAATATCGTTAAAAAATAACATTTTTGAGAATCACAGAAAAAGATAAGATACTGCGACATTTAATTTTATGTTTTGACGAAGTTTTTGTAAATGTCGTTAAACCTCTACTCTCGCCAAAATCAAAATTCCGCGCTAAAACACATTTTGCGACATTTGTTTTAATTCATTTTTTAATGACATTTATATGAAATGTTGTTATAAATGTATCCCTCCAATATAATTTATAGTGGGCATGTAGTTTTTAACAACGTTGAACATAAACATCAGTATAAAGGAGTGTTAAATGTTGCTAAATAAATTACTTTTGTATTGATTTTAAATTGTTAAAATTAGTTTTAAAATTGATTAATTATAAAATTAACTTACAAATTTGTATTACTTAATTATAGAAATATTTTTTATTAAGTAATACTTTTTATTTTTGTTTTACAAACGTAATTATTATTTTTATTAATTTATACATTAATCTTACAAATTTGTATTCTACTATTAATTGTACTCTATGTTTTATTTAAAGTTATTTTGAATATTGAAATGGAGTTTAGGTTTATCCATGTTCTAATTTTTTATATGTAGAATATTTATGCATTGTTTATTTGTTTATATTTCATAATAAAAAATTATAGTTATGGTGTATAAATAAGTGCTGAAAAATTTTTCACATTTCATTGGTTTGTTGCAAAAGGGAAGATATATAGTATGTAAATTAGTGCCAATGACATTATTAAGTTATTAAATAATAAATTTTGTTTTAATTAATTCATTAATGTCTAATTAATCAACAATGTTTTTATTTTTTTATATTTTATTTTACTATTAACTATTAATTCTATGACTAGTTAATTTATTATTTTTAATTATTTAACTAATTAATAAACCATCGAGGACTACTTGTATTTAGTAGGGGTGCTCACGGTTCGGTTAACCAAATCATGGGCCTTTTCTTGTAACTGGTAAACAAAATCGAACCGAAACCAATCGGTTAACCGGTTCGTTTCGCCGTCGGTTCGGTTCGTCGGTTTTTTAATTTTTACAATATATATCATAAATATATATATATATATATAAATATATATATATATATATATATAAATATATATAAAATATTATATTTTAAATAATAAACAGTATATCATATATTATAAATATATAGTTATATATATAATGCATATTTATTAATTTATAATATATAAAAATAAAATATATATATATATAATATATAATATACATAAATATATATAAAATATATAGAAATATATGTATATCGATCAGTTTGGTTAATCGTTGGTTTGCTATATTTGTTAACTGAAACCAAACCGGTACCTTCGAGTTTTTAAAAACACTGAACCAAAACCGAACCAACCGGTTCGGTTAATTTTTGGTTCGATTTCAATTGGTTTTTTTGGTTGGTTTGGTTTTTCGATTTTTTTGCTCACCCCTAGCATTTAGCAAGGTTTTTAAAACCGAACTAGAAAACGAACCGGTCAGGGGTACCATTCCCAGGTCAAATAGTTCGACCATTCGAACTGAATGGACGACTCGTTCTGACAAAAAAATAAATAATAAATAAAAAAATAAAAAACGACCAAACCATTGAACGGTTCGAATGGTTTGACTACCCGGATCAGTGGTTTGCTTACCAAATCAACGGTTTTTGGCGAAATAATGGTTTTGGGGTAAAATGGAACCCGTCAAACCGGTTCTTGATTTTCCCAATCCGACCATCCAGTCCGATCCGATTTTGAAAACCAAGGTATTTAGTGATGTGAAACTGGGTACAACATGGGTTTTACTTAACCCTAATTCAACCATCAAATGTTTCCATGCAAATCCAATTTGAGCCGACTTAGTAACATGTAAATTTAAAACTTGACCCTACTTATTGGGTTGACCTAATACAACAATACGAGTCCATCCGATGCAAATCCAATCTCTCTCCCCCTCTCTCTCTCTCTGATTGGACTTAAAGCCTATTACTCTACGAGGCTAAACAACTTGAGGGTAGGAATAACAATTTTCCCCATCCCAACCGAGTGCCAAACCTCCCCAACTAGGCAAGGATGGGGGTGGAGGTTGCCTTAACAGGTGTAGGGTGGAGATGGGATTAATAGGAATACCTTAATTGGGGACAGGAACGGGGACTAAGCCTATCAATGATGTAAATCCAATGCCCTATCCAATCTGATCGGATCATATATGACTTGATTTGAATTCAAATCCTATCGATAAGTCAGATCTTCAAATCTGATCCAATCCAACTTGTTTTCTTTAACAATTAATAAATTATTAAAAGAAAAATAAAATATACTAATTTAAATAAAATAAAACATAAAATACAAGTATTTTTTAATTATTTTAATCATATATATCATGGTTTTCAAACCACCGTTGATTCGGTCGGTCGAACCGTTCAGCTTAGGAACCATCCAGGTAATCGGTTCCATTTTACCCCAGACTCAATCCCTGGCCAAAAACTATTGAATTAGTTAACGGCCGGTTGACTCAGGTAATTGAATGGTTGACTTGTTGACTTGTTCAACGTTTTTGGTGATTTTTTTATTTTTAATTATGTTTTTTATTTTTTTTGTCTGAAAGGGTTGTTCGTTCGAATCGGACGGTTGAACCATCGACTTGGAAACCAGTGGCCAGAGCGGTTCCATTTTTGGGTCATTTTTTTTAATTCTGATATATATACATGTTTTTCATAAAAAATAAATAATATAACAAATTTATAAAAATATATTTATAAATAAATAAACATATATATATGTATATAATATTTATATTTATAAAAAAATATATTTATAAATAAATAACTAAATATATTTATATGTTATGCCTTTTGAGCAAATGTTAGTGGAGGGGACACATTTTAATGATGGTCCCATCACATTCTATCATTTGAAATTGGAGAGATTAGAGAGTAAAGATTCTAAAGACTAAATGGGTAAGCATAAAAATAAAAAATGGATTAAAATAAGAAATGTAATTTGGTAGTGTTACTTTGTACTGAAGTACCAAAGAGCCAACTCCATGTTTTTTGAAACCCTCCCTAACAATAAAAGCAATATATAGGGCCTAGTGGGTATAAGTTCCAAACTTCTAGTTGGTTCAGTTTTGCCTTTGCTTGTTTCTAACTATGAATCATCTTTATTGTTTACATGTTTTGCCTTTTTTATTGTTTATTATTCTAATTAATCCATATGCGTTAACTATTTTAACATTTGGTGTGGTTACAGATGGCTAGTGAGGAGGTTAGAGGTCTATCCTCCCAACCCCCTGGCCCTCTTATATAAAAAGAAGGCCAGGGAAGCGTGGCAACATAGTGTTGCCACATGTCCAGCAAAGGAAGAGAGATCAAGCTCCAATCGTGGAGTTTGATCATTCCACCGGCCTATTAGGGAAGTGAGGCCGGAATTGATGTCATACATAGTTATGCTAGCGAGGGACCGTTCTATAATCCCAATCTGCGCCACTGATTGTCAGACAATAACTGATGAGGCAAGGAATAGATTTTATGATGCTGTTAAAGTAAGTTCCACATTGTTTTTGTTAGTTGATTATTGCTTTGTGTTAATTACTAATGCCTAAAATTTTTATTCTTTCATCCTTTGTAGGAAAAATTTATTGTCCTAGATGAGATGGACAAAACAGATATCCTTGCTGCAGCCGAAAAGATGCACCAATGCTTTCGATGTCACATGAAGAAGAAATATTTTGATAAATATTCTCCTGATCGTAAGAAAGCATTCTCAGAGACAATTCAACATGAGAGAAATATTGAT